TCAATCACAAACTCTGAAGCCTGCCCCCATGACTGCGTGAGTCTTTGGGGGGACATCTAGACACAAACCATACCATCCTTCGTTCACCTACATGTCCAGACTGATGGCTTCTTTTTGAAAATTCTTTTAGTTACTTTATTAGTTCTAACATTACAAGCTTCCACCCTCCCTCCATTTATTTGTTTATTGAATTATTTTGGAGACAGGGTCCCCCTGTGTAGTCTAGCCTGGACTTGAACTTACCATGCAGCCCAGGTAGGACTTGAACTGGCAGCAATCCTCCTGCCTCAGCCTCCAAATTGAAGCTCCATACTTTTAGACACTGCAAGGACTTTATAAGACAGAAAGCCTCCATCATATTAAGATAGAGTACATTCCCATACTGGCTTCTCTGTGGTAAGTCAATATTATGCCAACAACGTACGCACTAAGGAAGAAAAGAGAGAATCCAAATCTGTCCCCGTTAAAGCATTGCCCCATACTAGAACGCGCATGAGGTCAGTGTGGCCACATTAAAGGGATATTGAACCGTGGTCCCGAGAGAGCCTCCTCTCCCCACAGGCTCCTTGCCTCAGTCTCCTGTGCATGGCTGTAGGTGCACAGATACTCGCTCACCTCAGTACACGCACTTCATGGTCTGTACTGGGATCCCTGGCAGCTTCCTTTCACCTTCACAGGCAGACACATGAAAGACGAAAATATCAACTCAGCTTTGTCCTTTGGGGTGTTGTAGGTTGGCTGTTTCATTTGTAAAGCTTCATAAGTTTTGGGTGTCACATCCAGCAACTATTAAACCTTCATTGTCCCAGCTGCATTTTACCCCTGCTCCAACAAGGCATCGTCTCTGCTCTTGGAAGCTTAGTAGTTCTTCCTTTTCCCCTCACATTTCTTTTATGCTACATTTATCAGGTGATTTTTATGTTCTAGGCACTACATTAGCGTATGTGCGAATGAGGTAACATGCCGAAAGTTCTTAGACTCGTGGGTAGCATGTGGCAAATACTGAAATGTTACTTTATTTTCATTTTCCCAACAACTCTTGCAGTGTTACTTTTAGTCC